TTTTTTTTTTTAACCTTCAAAGCTAATTTTTCCATCGCCGTCGACGTCTGCTTCTAAAAACATTTCGTCAATGACATTTTCAGGAAACATATTGTCTAAGGCTAACTCTTGAACTATTTGGGTCATTTCGGCACGTTCGATGAAACCATCTTTATCCTTGAAAAAGAAATGCAAAACAACAAGAAATTACAAAAGAAACAACAACAAACAACAACAAATTTAATTAACTTAATGTTGCTTAATTTTTGCAGCTTTTTTTTTTTTTTTTTGCTTTAATTTGATTTACAAAGGAAAAAAAAGAAGAGATTGGAAAAAAAAAAAAAGAAATAAGTTTTGGTGGAAACTCAGATGTTTGTTTTTGTTTTTTTTCTTTTCAAAAAACATACTTTTTTTTCGCAGCTGTACCACCGTCAAAGAGGCAAAAAAACAAAAATATTGAAAACTAAACTATTTTGATTATTTTTTTATTTTTTCTAAAACCTCACAAGATTACTGCTTCAAATCTTAGGTTTTTTAGCGCAATAAGCAGCAGAATAAAATTAGCACTAACATTTCAGCTTTGGTTTATTTTCAACAATTTCACAGAACAGAAATGATGTTAGTTTAAAAAATTTGCTAATATCAGTGTCATTTTTTTGTTTAGCTTACAATTTTTTTTTTCTTTTATCTGCACCTCTTCTTTCAAAATTTTTTTTCTTTTTAAATTTTTTAATAAATGATTTAAAAAAACTATTTTTTTGAAGCTTATATTTCAGGTAGGTAAATCAAACAGCAGAAATAAAAAAAAAAAAAGATCTGTAGCACATTTTTGAAGCCCCTAAAAAAATTCTGTTTTTTTTTTTTTTGCAACGGTTTTTGTTGTGCGTAAACATTGGTAAATTAACCGATGTATCAGTGTTAACAAATATAATTCTGATTGAAAAATAGAAATAAAAAATCTTTTAAAAGATTAAAAAAACTAAAATTTTTTATTGTTTTTTCACTTCGACTGTAAACTGTGCATTATTTAATTTTAAGACAGTTATAGTTGTTACATATAAAGGATAGTTTACAAACAAAAAAAAAACTGATACTTGTAATGGATAATAAAAGTAATTAACTAAACCTTATCAAACAGATCAAATTGTTCACGAATTTGTTCACTAGAAAATTTTGTTCGGTTTTCATTTCCCTTCATTAACGTAACAAATTCGTCATAAGTGATGACACCATTTTCTGAAAAAAAAAAAAAAAAAGAAAAATCAGAAAAGCAAAAAATTAGAAAATTTAGTTAGCAATATTAAAATGGGTAAGCAACGTTTGTGCCAACAGTAATATATCCAAAAATTACAGATTTCTTGTTTTGCAAATGTTTAGAAATTTTTTAGATTTAAAATCAGAAATACAACCAATTTTTGGTTTTTTTTTTTTTTTTTTTTTTTTTTTT